GTACCATATTAACTGGTATTGGACTTTTATTATTTACAATATTCAAAGTATGTATATAACACATTTTGTTTGTATATTATATTGAATATATCTAATAAAAATTTTCTATTATAATTTTTTTTTTGGAGTTTTTCCTGAGACACATTTATATTGGAACATTTGGTGGTGGTATTGGATGTTACTTGTTAAAAACTGCTATAAATTTTCGGTTCGACTGTCTGAAAAGTATTATGATTTTGAGGGATCGAAGGAAATTTTCCTTCATGAGAATAATTTTTTGTAATGGGGTTTGGATTTTGTTTTTGGATTCTGCCTCTTGATTATTATTAGATGCAAAGCTAAAAGCAATCTTGTTCCGACCATCATCACTTTGAGTTTTCTATCAATTTCCTTGGGCTTCAACCTAGTGATTTTCAAAAAAATCAAATCACAATACCCGAATTCTACTCTGATTTCAGTAAGTGTGAGTATATAAATCTACTTATTTATATATACTACAACCAGTGTTGTGACCCGAAACAGAAACTAACAGAAACCACCCGAAACTAGTTTAGGTTAGTAGTTTATGTTTAGATTTAAGTTTAGGTTTAGTTTTCTGCTTAGTGTAAGTTCATTTTCCGAAACATTTAGGGAAGCCAAAAGAGTTTCTGGTCACAACACTGACTACAACTATTTGACCATTTTCTGGTTCGACATTTTTAATTATTAATATATTGTTCATATAGAGTTTAAATTTATTAATTGGGAGGCAATAGGAGAAACCATTTCAACAATGGTTACCCTTGCATACTTTATGATATTAAGTGTTAATATAAATATTAGCAAATTGGAAACTTCACTTGATGACCATCAACTTAACACAGATCATGAACTGATTGTTCAAGGAGTTTCCAATTTAATTGCAGGAACTTTCCAAGGTTAGAATAGAATTATTATGTTTGTGAAAATCATATAATACCAACTATTAATAACATTAATAAATCATTATAGTTTCCTTGAGATATAAAGAATCAATTTTATTGATTAAATCAGGAGTAAATAAACGTGTTGTGGGGCTGATACTTGCATTCTGTATTGGTATAACAGTATATTTTGGAGAACTGTTATTTTTAATTGAATACATTCCTACAACAGCTGTAGGCACAATAATCTTCTACTTGGGACTGGATATGATACAAGAGGCATTGTTAGACTCATTGAAAATTTTCAATAAATTGGAATATTTGAATATTATAGTCACAATGGGTGAAATGGCATTGATTGGATTTGTTGAAGGAATATATATAGGGATTGCAATTTCTTATACATCTTTTATATTATCAAATTATCAAAAGGGAGTGATTAGAACAACATTTTCAGGTAATTCAGATAGATCTTCTGTAAGAAGGCATTACAGAGACCATAAATTTCTTGAAAAACTTGGTAGTCAAATCTATGGAATGAAATTACAAGGTTATATGTTTTATGGAGCAATTAAAGGAGTTGAAGATAGTATAAAGAAAGTTTTGATTGATTGTAAACAGGATGGAAAACCAATTAAATTCTTGATTTTGAATATGCTTGGTGTCACTGGATTTAATATTAATTCTATTCATGTGCTTGAAAGCATTCAAAAGCATTTTCAACATCAAAAAGTATATCTTGTAATCTGTGGAATATCATATGAATCTCAGCAAGTTTATACACCATTGAAAAAATTACTATTTTGGAATGATGTTACAAATGATCATGTAAAGTTTTGTGATGAAGCTAATGAGGCACTGGAATGATGTGAGAATTTACTCTTTGAAACTTATTATGATAATCATAGACTATTATACAGTGATAATCAACTTTGTAATTTGTAACAGTTCTTTTTCGTTCTTAATTGCGAATATGTAATATGGCACAGTAATACGAAATTTATTTCGCGTAACGCGTTAAATTAAAACGAAACGTTACATCTTTACTTATATATATTATTGTTATATTACTTATTATTTATATTACTTATATTATCATTTATATTACTTATATTATTATTATTTATATTATTTTCTTATATATACGAGTTACAAATTAAGTGCTGCAGCTTTCCGTGAAGTTCTAAGATATTATTATTATTGATTGATAATAATTTATTTATTTAATTGTAATATTATATTATGCATTTTGTATAAAAAGATAAGCTTTCCGTAATTAATAAAAATAACGTGTATTTTTAATAATAACAATTAGTATTTTGACGTAAAGAAAAAGGGTTTCCTTACATAATTAGAAGTTAAAATAATTTAGAAATGATTTGTTATTTATCATTATTGTTAATAATAATTTTTTTTATTATAATCAAAGTTGGAGTACAGCATCAGACCATGTCATCTTTACTTAATGATGAGTATTTTTGTAGTAATCATGTCGAAGATGCTGGAAAGATTGTATTTGAAAGTAAGTAAATCAATTAATTACAGTTATTAGCCTTGTTGCAACAAAATGGCTGGAAATATAGGTCACTCCCGTTATAAGGACACTCTCGGGCAGACCTAAAAATGTCATTATAACGGGAATGTCATTATAACGAGATAAATTTTACTAAGTCCTAACATACTTGGGACAGAGTCCAAGTGTCCTTATAATGAGATTGTCCTTATAACGGATGTCCTTATAACGGGAGTGACCTGTATAAAAAAATTTCATTGAAACAAGATTTTTAAAAATGCATTGAAACAAGAATTTAATTATAATTCGTTGAAACAAGGTTTTACTGTAGGCTTAATAATTAATTTACACATATCATACATCCATCAATTTACATTTCATTGTTTTTTTTTTTTTTTTAGATAAAATTGGTCTTGAAAGTAAAAACAAACTTGTAAATATTTTGATGAAAGCATTTAAGGAAATTACAAATGAAAAAGAAGAATTTTTCAATTTGCTAGTTCCATATTTTAAAAAAGAAGAAGTACAAAGGGACTCACAATTGTGGTCAAAAGGTGATGATCCAAATTGTATATATGTAATGGAGCAAGGACAATTGAGCACATGGATTTCAGCAGAAAACAACAAAAAAAATGTAATTGAGAGAATTCTGCCACTTACCATGATAGGTGAATTAGGATTTTTCACTGATAATCAACGACGAACAAATTTGGTGACAGATACTCTATGTGTTCTATGGAAAATGGATCAAGCTTCTTATTTAAGTATGATGAAATCCAATCCCGTTTTAGGAGCCATTTTTATGAAATTGGTAATGAAATTCACTGTAGAAAGGTTACGCAAGTTGGATCGTTATGCCTTTGATTAAAACAAAAAAAATGGCAAATTATAATGTAAATCATGTAAATATTTAGAGTTTTATTATTACATTATCTTTAAAGGTTATAATTTCCGTAATATCATCTGTAACCGCGCGGTATATTAATATTTTAAAATTTCGGGTAAACTGGCGATCACAGATTATTATAATAATAATGAATTTACTGGTCGTATTATATTTAATTAGTGTCAGTATCGGTGTGTGGATATTAATATAATAAATAGTCAATTGGGTTTAATATGTTATTTTTTTTTTGGGGTGTACATATGAACTAAAAAGAGAATTACGAAAAATAAAAATAAAATAAAAACCAATTTTTAAATGCACACACACCCCCCCCCCGTAATACTAAAAGTATCCGTTTGAAGCGACTTGACGTTGTACACAATCTCCACGTGTCCTTTTTTAAAAAAAAGTGAATTAAGCTGAAGCACCCCGTTTTATTGACCAAGTAAGATATCTTGTCAAGAAACGTCGAAAAACTCACCATTGTTTCTTGAAATTTGTGATGTTGCTTGTTATCTTCTTATTGAAAACAATAAATATTATTTTTGTTGTTGAACCTTTTATTAGAGAAATAATAGTTTTTGTTTCGTTTTTTACAAAAAACTACTTCTCCATCGCCTCCACAACTATTCTTGAAGTTTGGAAGTTTGTCTTTTTCAATACTTATACAATGTATATTGTTTTAATGTTTCTAGAAAAAAGTTTGACACCTTCAAAAAAAAATTTTTGGCTGCGCCCCGGTGGGAAAAGATTTTTAGGAAGAGGTTTTTCAACTTAATTAATTCTTTTATAAACTTATTCAATAAAGTAAGCAAATAAAGAAAATCATTCTTTACGAAATCCCACTCTTGAATTTATATTTCTTCATAAGGTGAATATGTACAAGTACTATCTTTTATTTCTCAAGTTAATCTTTTGTCTTACTATTCTATAAATAATCAACATCTTCTATATAATAAAGCTTATAATTAATTAATATGTTAAATCTCAAAAATAATTTGATGGATATTGTTCCACAACAATAATATTTTATAAATCGAGTATACACCTTCCGTACATCTGCGCCTCTGTGCTAAATAATGTTCTGTACGTTTTTGATATCAAATTAATCGGTTGGTAGTAGCAGAAATTCCGTAGATTCCGTATTTGTATATACTCAAAATTTGATTGTACATACTTTTCAAGTCACTACTATGGATACGCAGATGTACGGAATACGGAACCTGTGTGTACTAATACTAATACTCCAAATTAATTCATACCAGAAATATTTACAAAACCTTGGACCGAATCAGTATTCAAGAAAATTGTGATTGGTGTAGTATGTTTATTTTCGACTATATTCTTTTGATAAGATCGAAATAAGTAATAATACAGTATATTAATATAAATATTTAAATTGTATGCTAACATATGTAAATGAATTGCAGGCTTATCTTTACATATCATAGATGTTTTATATGGGATTAAGAAAGCATTGAAGGTTTATGCGAAAAGTTAAGACTTTATTCACATAACAAATACTTAGTTTTTTTGGTATCTTGATGAGATTTTTAGTATACGTTGTATCTAGATTTAAGCGGACCTGCTGGTTCAGCATGTCTGGGGGTTTAATAGATAAACTGTCTATCGATTAATAATCATGTTTTTCCGCAAAAATATCCGCAAATCACCAAATCAATTTCTAAATAAGGATAACACGCACCCAACCTACCAATAAAATTGGATATTTTCATGATGCTGCGCAAATTTGCGGATATTTTTGCGGAAAAATACATGATTTTTATCGATTACTATAACAAATATATTTGATTTACTAGCATTCATAGTTATAATAATAATAATCTTATGATGATGATCATTGCTATTATTAACTAGAAGAAAATATTTATTGAAACGAATAAAGTTAATAAAAATAATAACAATTAAACGTATAAATAAAACTATTTGTAAAAATAAATTTATGACTTGCAAAAACAAAATTTCTCATATAAGAAATGATGTATATAAAAAGAAAACCTAAGGTTAATCATGATTTTTTACTATATAACGGACATTATGTGGTTAATTACGACGTTTTGCTACTACTACTACTACTATTATTATTATTATTATTATTATTATTATTATATAACTCGGACATTCCCTTGTCCTACAATAAATATAAACGGAAAAAAAATTTTTAGCCTAATTATAATGCTAAAATTTGTTACTTTTCAAAAATGGTGTTTTGGAGAATTGATAAAAAATTTGGTCATTGCAGCGAAAAAAACTAAGCTTAGAAGGTTATTAATAGTTATCAGAATATTCATTACACTAGCTTAAAAGACGCTATTAAATTTTTTCGGTGGATTCTTCGTAATATGTGACTGCTCAAATCGGCAAATACAAAACTCAATTATTAATAGATCCATAAAAAATAGGGTTGTAAATAAAACCCCAATTTTATTAACTGGATACAGGTTTAATTATTAATTTAATAATAAATAAAAAAATCGTACTACCGACTGTGTTACGCGATTTAGAAATGTAAATAATTCTTTACGACACTAAATATCTAAACATAACTTATATAATTTATATAATTTATGATTATTGTATTTCTTCGTATCTTTATAAAATAAGCATTATGGTAAAAATAACTTTACATGGCTTTAATACATTCAATGCATCTTAAAAAACATAGCAAAATGAAAAATCTAATGATAATTGATATTGGTCATGATTTTTTATTATTATATTGAAAAAAAAGCAAAACTTTAGGAATTATTTTTAAAAAAAAAATATTCCGTGATTTTTATTTTCCGTTCCTCTATATAAATGTGACTCTATTAATTCTCAGACGAGTCAAAAGTTTTAATCTTCTTCCTAAAAACATGACAAACAACAACAACGACAATACTAGTGCTGGTTTTTCTGGTAAAACTTAATTTAAAATAAATATAAATGAATTAGAAAAATAAAATATTAATAATCTATGCATTTAATAATACAGGAGATGTAAATCGAGCAAACGATAACAATTATAGAAACAGTAATTATAGCAATTTAACTATACTAAATAATGCTGCTATAGCAAATGAATATGAACATACGTCATTGTTAAATAATTTATCTAGACACAGCAATAATTATGGCAAGAACACAGATGTTTTAATACCAATAGAAGACCATTGTTGGTCTCCAAGTTCGAGAATAAATACATCATTGTTTCGTGATTGGAACATGTTATCATTAAGTATAAAAGGGTTTAAGAACGCTATTATAAATCCATGGCTATATTATTACATTATTATATTTTTCTTATTAAATATCATATATGGAATATCATTTGGTAAGCGCAATGATTAGAAGAAAATATCACTCAACAATCACGTGGTTACAATTGATTGCAAATGTGATGTGTCACTGGTTTCGCTCAATCAGAATACGTTTAATAATCGAAGTTTTTTAAAAAACAAATTAGGGATAGCGGTATTTCCTCATACGCACCATCACCATAATAGTAAAGAGGATGAATTTGGAAGATATAAATATATTGGAATGGTGATGTTTTTTATCAGGTAAGTTATATTGATATACTTTTGATTTATTTATTTAATCGGCTAACGGATCCACGTCTTTATCAATAAAGTTGTATTATTTCAAAAGTCATAAACTCGATTAGTGGAAAATTCCAAGGTGGAAATAGTACAATGATCATACAATGCAAGTATTTTTTTTTTAATTAGAAATCAAAATTATTCATAATTTATAATCTAATAATAAATGATCTTTTTTTAAATAATAATAGTAATCCCATTTTTGCATTTGATGTAAGTAAATCTTTCGACAACAATTTTAAAGAAGAAAACAATAAAATCTAATAACCCTTCTCTTTTTTTATTTTCTTTATTCTTTTTGGTTGAAAAGCGGGGAAAAAATTAAAAACCATATTGATTTGGATTTGGGACCGAAAGAATTTAAAATGGCGTTTTACACAACAATATCTGCTTATACGCTAAGTACCATACTGACCGGTATTGGGCTTTTATTATTTGTAATATTCAAGGTATGTATATATTTATAATAATTGTATATTATATATTGAATATATCGCATATCTAATAAAAAAATTTCTAGTATAATTTCTTTTTGGAGATTTTCCCGAGACACATTTATATTGGAACATCTGGTGGTATTGGTTGTTACTTGTTGATGACTGCTATAAATTTTTCAATTCGACTGTCTGGAAGGTCTCTTGATTCCGGGAAATTGAAAATGATTTTCTTGCATGAGAATAATTTTTTGTTGTGGAGTTTAGCATTTTTTTCAGGATTTTGCCTCTTGGTCATTATTAGATGCAAAGCTAAAAGCAATCATGTTCCAATAATCGTCACTTTAAGCTTTCTATCTATTTTCTCTGGCTTCTACCTAGTAATATATTTTTTAAGTATTAATTCGGATTCTTTGATTAAACATGGCTGGATATTCATTTTTCAAGATAATCAAATCACAGTGTCTGAATTCTACTCTGATTTCCGTAAGTACAAGTTTATAAATCTGTTTTCTGATTACATACATATATCAATATAATATACTACAATTATTTGACCACGTTCTGGTTTGACATTTTTATAAACAATATATTGATTACATAGATTTTGAATTAATTAATTGGAAAGCGATGCAGGAAACCATCCCAACAATGCTTACACTTGCATACTTTACGATACTAAATGTTAATATAAACATTAATAAATTGGAAACTTCACTTGATGACCATCATCAATTAAATACAGATCGTGAACTGATGGTTCAAGGAGTTTCCAATTTAATTGCAGGAACTTTTCAAGGTTAGAATAGAATTATTATGATTTGTGAAAATCATATAATACCAATACTAATAACATCAATAAATCATCATAGTTTCCTTGGGGCATGAAGAATCAATTATATTGATTAAATCAGGAGTAAATAATCATGTTGTGGGACTGATACTTGCATTTTGTATTGGTATAACAGTATATTTTGGACAACTATTACTACTCATTAAATACATTCCAACAATAGCTGTAAGCACAATAATCTTCTACTTGGGACTGGAGATGATCCGAGAGGCATTGGTAGACTCATGGAATATTTTCAATAAATTGGAATATTTAAATATCATAGCCACAATGGGTGCAATGACATTCATTGGATTTGTTGAAGGAATATATTTAGGAATTGCAATTTCTTATATAACTTTTATGTTATCAAATTATCAAAATGGAGTGATTAGAACAACATGTTCGGGTAATTCAGATAGATCTTCTGTCAGGAGGCATTACCGAGATCATAAATTTCTTGAAAAAGTTGGTAGTCAAATCTATGGAATGGAATTACAAGGTCATATGTTCTATGGAGCAATTAAAGGGGTTGAAGATATTATAAAGAAAACTTTGATTGATTGTGAAAAGAAAGGAGATCCAATTAAATTCTTAATTTTGAATATGCTTTGTGTCACTGGATTTGATATTAATTCTGTCCATGTGCTTGAAAGCATTCAAAAGCATCTTCAACATCAAAAAGTATATCTTGTAATCTGTGGACATGAATCTCAGGAAGGTTGTGTAACATTGGAGAAATTATCATTTTGGAATGATGTTACAAATGATTATGTAAAGTTTTTTGGTGAATTTAATGAGGCACTAGAATGGTGTGAAAATTCACTCTTGGGAACTTTTTATGCTAAACACAGACCATTATACAGTAATAATCAACTTGGTAATTAGAAATTATAACAATTTAGAATATTATTTATTATTTATTATTAATAATGATTTTTTTTAATATAATCAAAGTTGGAGTACAACATCAAACCACATCATCCTTACTTAATGATGAGTCTTTTTGCAGTCCTCAAGTTGAAGATGCTGGAAGAAGCATATTTGAAAGTAAGCAAATCAATCAATTATTTACACATATTATCCATCTTTCAATTTACATTTATTCATTTCATTATTGTTTTTTTAGATGAAATTTGCCTTAAAAGTAAAAACAAATTTGTAAATATTTTGATGAAAGCATTCAAAGAAATCACCAATGAAAAAGAAGAATTTTTCAATTTTCTAGTTCCATATTTTACAAAAGAAGAAATACAAAAGGACTCACAACTGTGGTCAAAAGGTGATGATCCAAATTGTATATATGTGGTGGAACAGGGACAATTGAGCACATGGATTCCAGCAGAAAACAATAAACCAAATGTAATTGAGAGAATCTTGCCACTTACCATGGTAGGTGAATTGGGATTTTTCACTGATAATCAGCGACCAACAAATTTAGAGACAAATACTCTGTGTGTTCTATGGAAAATGGATCAAGCTTCTTATTTAAGGATGATGGGACATAATCCCATTTTAGGAGCCATGTTTATGAAATTGGCAGTGAAATTCTCTGTAGAAAGATTACGCATGTTAAATTGTTATGCCATTGATTAAAACAAAAAAATGATAAATGATAATGTAAATCATGTAAATCTTTAGAGTTTTATTATTACATTATCTTTAAAGGTTATAATTTCCGCAATATCATCTGCAACTGCGACATATTAATATTTTAAAGCTGGCGATCACAGATTATTATGTATTACTAGTCGTATTATAATTAATTAGTGTTGGTATCGGTGCATGAATATTAATATAATAGAATTTAATTGTTATTTTTTTTTTTTTTGGGATGTTTGAGTTTTACATATAAATTAACAAAAAGAGAATTGCATTAAAAATAAAAATAAAATAAAACAGTTTTTAAATGCACAACTCTAAAAGTATCCGTTTGAAGCGACTTGACGTCGTATACAATCTCCACGTGACCTCTTTTCTTAAAAAAAAGAAACACCCCATTTCATTGACCATGTAAGTCATCTTGTCAAGAAACGTCGGAAAACCCACCATTGTTTCTTGAAATTTGTGTTGTTGCCTATTATCTTCTTATTGAAAACAATAAATATTATTTTTGTTGTTGAACCTTTTATTAGAGAAATAAAAGTTTTTGTTTCGTTTTTTTTTACAAAAAACTGACTTCTTCGCCCCCACTTTCCTCTCCACAACTATTCTTGAAGTTTGGAAGTCTGTCTTTTTTAATGCTTATACGACGTATATTGTTTTAATGTTTCTAGGAAAAAGTTTGGCTCCTTTAAAAAAAATGTTTGGCTGCGCCCCGGTGAGGAAAAGAGGTTTTTTCCTGAATTTAGTCTATTATTACATCAACTTATTTAATTCTTTTATAAACTTATTCAGTCATTCTTTACAAAATCCCACTCTTGAATTTATATTTCTTCATAAGGTGAATATGTACAAGTACTATCTTTTATTTCTCAAGTTAATCTTTTTGTCTTACTATTCTATAAATAATCAACATCTTCTGTATAATAAAGCTTATAATTAATTAATACGTTAAATCTCAAAAATAATTGAGTATATATACACCTTCCGTACATCTGCGCCTCTGTGTTCTGTACCAAATTAATCGGTTGGTATATAATAGCAGAAATTCCGTAGATTCCGTATTTGTATACAGTCAAATCTCGATAAACCGAACTACCATAAACCGATTTTCGCTTTATAACGATGCAAAATTGGCTAACTAAATCATATTTGATAATGGTTTGTACAAAATAATAAGAATATAACTTTCTAAGCCGAATATGATCATAAAAATTCGTCTTATGATGATAAAATTCGGTTTAAAAATGGTCGATCACACAACAATCAAGTTTAGTCAAGATGATTATTACTAAATTAGGCTTTTGACCCTTTACGCTGCCAGCCCTGTTTGTATCGTAAATCGAATTTTGATAAGCTGATCCTATTTTTGTGATTCCCAAAAGTTCGGCTTATCGAGGTTTGACTGTATACTCAAAATTTGATTGTACATACTTTTCAAGTCACTACTATGGATGTGCAGATGTACGGAATACGGAACCTGTGTATACTAATACTAATACTCCAAATTAATTCATACCAGAAATATTTACAAAGCCTTGGACCGAGTCAGTATTCAAGAAAATTGTGATTGGTGTAGTATGTTTATTTCGACTATATTCTTGATAAGATCGAAATAAGTAATTATGAAATTTGCAATAGGCAAAATTAACAATACAGTATATTAATATAAATATTTAAATTGTATTCTAACATATGTAAATGAATTGCAGGCTTATCTTTATGTAAAATATATGTTTTATATGGGATTATATGGCATTAAGAAAGCATTGAAAGTTTATGCGAGAAGTTAAGACTTTATTCACATAACAAATACCTAGTTTTTTTTTGGTATCTTGATGAGATTTTAGTACACGTTGTATCTAGATTTAAGCTGACCTATTGGTCCAGCTGGTTTGGGGGTTTAATAGATAATTTGTCTGTCAATTACTATAACAATAATAACTAATATATTTAATTTACTAGCATTCATAGTTATAATAATAATAATAATAATCTTGATGCAACGGATGATAATGAGCATTGCTATTATTAACTAGCAAGAAACTATTTATTAGAACGAATAAAATTAATAAAAATAATTAAAAATAATTTTAAAAAAACAAATGGCTAATAACAATTAAACGTATAAATAAAACTATTTGTAAAATAAATTTATGAACAAAATTTCTCATATAAGAAATGATGTTTGATAAAATTGAAAATACACATCTAAACTCGATAAGTCGGACATTTATTTATATTATAAAGTACTTTAAACAATTGATTGCTGCGTCCGACTTATCGAGTTTAGATGTGTATGTATATAAAAAGAAAACCTAAGGTTAATCATGATTTTTTACTATATAACTAATAATAATAATATTATTATTATTTAACTCGGGCATTCCCTTGTCCTACAATAAATATAATAAATAGCGGAAAAAAAAAATTTTTTTAGCCTAATTATAATGCTAAAAATTTGTTACTTTCAAAAATGGCGTTTTGGAAAATTGATAAAAAATTTGGTCATTGCAACGAAAAAAACTAAGCTTAGAGGGTTATTCGTGGTTGTCAGAATATTCATTACAATAGCTTAAAAGATGCTATTAAAATTTTCGGTAATATATGACTCACTCAATCGACAAATATAAAATTGGCGAAACTCGATTATTAATAGATCCGTAAAAAATAGGGTTGTAAATAAAACCCAAAGTTTTTATTAACTGCAGGTTAATTAATTGAGATCTGTCTTATTTTTTATAAACAAAAGGTACCACTGAATTTTTATCATTGTGTCACGAGATTTAGAAATGTAAATAATACACTAAATATCTAAACGTGTATAATTTATATAATTTACATAATTTATATAATTTATATAATTTATAATTATTGTATTTCTTTGTATCTTTATAAAATAAGTAATATGGTAAAAGTAACTATTAAAATTTTTACATGGCTTTTAATACATGCAATGCATCTTAAAAAACATAGCTAAATGAAAAAAATCTAGTGATAATTGATATTGGTCATGATTTTTTATTATTATATTGAAAAAAAAGCAAAACTTTAGGAATTATTTTAAAAAAAAAATGTTCCGTGATTTTTATTTTCCGTTTCTCTATATAAAATGTGACTATTAATTCTCAGACGAGTCAAAAGTTTTAATCTTCTTAAAAACATGACAATCAACAACAACGACAACACTAGTGCTGATTTTTCTGGTAAACCATAATGTAAAATAAATATGCATGAATTAGAAAAATAAAATATTAATAACCTATGCATTTAATAATGCAGGAGATGGAAATCGAGCAAACGATAACAATTATAGAAACAGTAATTATGATGCTGTTACAGCAAATGAAGATGAGCATACGTCATTGTTAAATAATTTATCTAGACACAGCAATAATTGTGGCAAGAACACAGATGTTTTAATAACAATAAAAGACTGTTGTTGGTCTCCAAGATCGAGAATAAATCCATCATCGTTTCGTGATTGGAATGTGTTATCATTAAGTATAAAAGGGATTAAAAACGCTATTATAAATCCATGGCTATATTATTACATTATTATATTTTTCTTATTAAATATAATACATGGAATATCATTTGGTAAGCGCAACGATTAGAAGAAATACATGCGAACACCACTCAACAATCACGTGGTTACAATTGATTGCAATCAGAATACGTTTAATAATTGAAGTTTTTAAAAACAAATTAGGGATAACGTTATTTCCTCATACGCACCATCACCTTAATAGTAAAGTGGATGAATTTGGAAGATATAAATATATTGGAATGGTAATGTTTTTTATCAGGTAAGTTACTTTTGATTTATTTATTTATTTATTTATTTAATCGGCTAACGGATCCGCGTCTTTATCAATAAAGTTGTATTATTTCAAAAGTCATAAACTCGATTGGTGGAAAATTCCAAGGTGGAAATAGTACAATGATCATACAATGCAAGTATTTTTTTTTTTAATTAGAGATCAAAATTATTCATAATTTATAATCTAATAAATAATCTTTTTTTAAATAATAATAGTAATCCCATTTTTGCATTTGATGTAAGTAAATCTTTCGACAACAATTTTAAAGAAGAAAACAATAAAATCTAATAACCCTTCTCTTTTTTTATTTTATTTATTCTTTTTGGTTGAAAAGCGGGGAAAAAATTAAAAACCATATTGATTTGGAATTGGATTCGAAACCAGAACCGGAAGAATTTAAAATAGCGTTTTATACAACAATATCTGCTTACGCGCTAAGTACCGTAATAACCGGTATTGGGCTTTTATTATTTGTAATATTCAGGGTATGTATATATTTATAATAATTGTATATTATATATTGAATATATCGCATATCTAATAAAAAAATTTCTAGTATAATTTCTTTTTGGAGTTTTTCCCGAGACACATTTATATTGGAACATCTGGTGGTATTGGTTGTTACTTGGTGATGACTGCCACAAAGTTTTCAATTCGACTGTCCAAAAAGTTTGATTTCGGAATATTGGAAAAAGTTATCTCGCATGAGAATAATTATTTGTCATGTGGTTTAGCTTTTGTTTTTGGATTATGCCTCTTGATTATTATTAGACGCAAAGCTAAAAGCAATCATGTTCCGACCATCATCACTTTGAGTTTTCTATCAATTTTCTTGGGCTTCAACCTAGTGGTACATTTTTTGAACACTTCTCAGAAGTCCTTGATTAAGGATGGTTGGATATTCGAGCTTCAAAAAAATCAAACCACAATACCCGAATTCTACTCTGATTTCAGTAAGTATGAGTATATAAATCTACTTACTTATTTATATATACTACAACTATTTGACCATGTTCTGGTTCGACATTTTCAATTATTAATATATTGTTCATATAGAGTTTAAATTTATTGATTGGGAAGCAATAGGAGAAACTATTCCAACAATGCTTATGCTTGGATACTTTACAATACTAAATGTTAATATAAACATTAGTAAATTGGAAACTTCACTTGATAACCATAATCAATTAAATAGAGATCGTGAACTGATTGTTCAAGGAGTTTCCAATTTAATTTCTGGAACTTTTCAAGGTTAGAATAGAATTATTACGATTTGTGAAATCATATAATACCAATACTAATCACACCAATAAATCGTCATAGTTTCCTTGGGACATGAAGAGTCAATTATATTGATTAAATCAGGAGTAAATAATCATGTTATGGGAATGATACTTGCATTTTGTATTGGTATAACAGTATATTTCGGAGAAATATTACTTTTGATTGAACACATTCCTACAATAGCTGTAGGCACAATAATCTTCTACTTGGGACTGGAGATGATCCGAGAGGCATTGTTAGATTCATGGAAAATTTTCAATATGGTAGAATATTTGAATGTCATAGCCACAATGGGTGCAATGGTGATTACTGGGTTTGTTGAAGGAATATATATTGGGATTACTATCTCATATATATCCTTCATGTTGTCAAATTATCAAAAGGGAGTAATTAAGACAACATTTTTAGGTAATTCAGATAGATCTTTTGTCAGAAGACATTACCGAGACCAAAGATTTCTTGAAGAAGTTGGTAGTCAAATCTATGGAATGACATTACAAGGTTATATGTTTTATGGAGCAATTAAAAGAGTTGAAAATACTATAAAGAAAGCTTTGGTTGATGGTGAACAGGATGGAAAACCTATTAAATTCTTGATTTTGAATATGCTTTGTGTCACTGGGTTTGATATTAATTCTGTCCATGTGCTTGAAAGCATACAAAAGCATCTTCAACATCAAAGAGTATATCTTGTAATCTGTGGATATAAATCTCAGGAAGCTTGTGTACCATTGAAGAATTTATCATTTTGGAATGATGTTACAAATGATTATGTAAAGTTTTGTGATGAAGTTAATGAGGCACTGGAATGGTGTGAGAATTCACTCTTGGGAACTTATTATGCTAATCATAGACTATTATACAATGATAATCAACTTGGTAATTAGAAGTTAAATAATTTTTAAAATTTTCATTATTTATTATTAATGATTTTTTTTTAATATAATCAAAGTTGGAGTACAACATCAGACCACATCATCTTTACTTAATGATGAATCTTTTTGCAGTCCTCAAATTGAAGATGCTGGAAGAAGCATATTTGAAAGTAAGTAAATCAATCAAATTATTGTCATTAATTTACACATATTATCCACCAATCAATTTACATTTATTTCACTGTTTGTTTGTTTTTTAGATAAAATTGGTCTTGAAAGTAAAAACAAACTTGTAAATATTTTGATGAAAGCATTTAAGGAAATTACCAATGAAAGAGAAGAATTTTTTAATTTGCTAGTTCCATATTTTACAAAAGAAGAAATACAAAAGGACTCACAATTGTGGTCAAAAGGTGATAATCCAAATTGTATATATGTAGTGGAGCAAGGACAATTGAGCACATGGATTTCAGCAGAAAACAACATAAAAAAAGTAACTGAGAGAATCTTACCACTTACCATGGTAGGTGAATTAGGATTTTTCACTGATAATCAGCGACAAACAAATTTGGTGACAGATACTCTATGTGTTCTATGGAAAATGGATCAAGCTTCTTATTTAAGTATGATGAAATGTAATCCCGTTTTAGGAGCGATTTTTATGAAATTGGCAATGAAATTCTCTGTAGAAAGGTTACGAAAGTTGGATCGTTATGTTTTTGATTAAAACAAAATGATAATGTAAATCATGTAAATATTTAGAGTTTTATTATTACATTATCTTTAATGATAATATTTTAGTAAATGATGAAAATTTCTTTTTTCTTTTTTCATATGTAAATCATAAAAAAAAAACTATGTAATTAAAAAAATAAAAATAAAAAACTGAGAGTTGACGTAAGAAATATTTAACAAAACGATTGATTTGCCCTCAATTACTTATTAAATTTATTAATATATACGTATTTAATTTAATTCTACCACGTCATATCTTTGCATTCGATCATTTCATTCATCCATTGAAAAAAGATAACTTCATCATCATAAAGAAAATTTGTATATACAATAGGGATCATTATGATGGATATAATGACACGCACGGTCGATCCCGCTTTACATACAGCAATATGTCACAGGCGTATGAATACACAAAAATCTCGGAGATCCAAATACAATATAGTGTGATTACGATAATAATGATATAACTTTATTGGGTGCTTTCTTTGTATTATTCCTTGTTTCGTAATTTTAATTACGTGATACCCTCCTGGTGTTACAAGCCGTCTAGGGAACTTCAAGCTGCGGCTATTCGACTGGACTTTTTTTCTAGTTGCGACTAAGAATGGTTGACGAAATTCATATTTATCGTCAAGAATCTTTTAACGAAATTGACGAAATTTATGATTGATTCAGCCAATCAAATACGATGCTTGTGATAATTCTTATATACATATATACAGTAATTAGTATATTGATTTGTTTTTAATATATATAGTTCCAATATATATATTAATATCATGCATCAAATTTGGACAAAGTTAACGATGAAAACCTAAGGTTTTAATATTTTTATTGGTTATTGCCTGTTTGTGTTATTCATGACATTTTATCATCCAATCTTGATTTTATATAGCAATTCAATATCTAGAGCGACATTGGATATTTACCATGGTAATTATTCTCGATTCTTTTTTATCATGCTGATAACCCAAGGGATTCCCTGAATCTTCTTTTAGTAACATCACCATACTGATATATATAAAATCAATATTTGATCATTGTTTATGAAAGTTTGGTCAGCTTAATTGATCAATTTCAATTTCGTCAATTTCGTCAAATGTGACTAAATCAACAACGGTTTGACGAAATTATTCCCTCCTGCTAAATATTTCATCAACCATTCTAATAAAGTCAACACAAAACATATCTTTTCATCTTAATAAAGAATGTTTATAATGTACCAAAATACATTTTATTGATAATTTTCACTATTTGTTTAAAAGCAGTTTTCGAATAATTGCCAAACGACTAAAATCATTAAAAAATCATAATTTCAGTCATTCAGAAAAAAATCCATAAAAAAAATAATGTCTTGCGAACAAAATAAAAAAACTCGAGAAGTTTGATATTTCCTTTCCATATACCATAAACAGTACCACGTTCAAAATCAGCAAGTTCTCTTCTATAAAATGCCCTCGATTTGCTTTTAAAAAAAATTATATTTCTTTATATTAATAAAAAAATTATATATTTATATGCAAATTTTGTAATAAAAAATTCTGTTAACTATTGACATTTTTGAAAGTATTGAATCAAGTTACGACAGTGATATTAAGGCTTAATGGTTTACGACTGAAATCTAGTCGCGGCTACTGCTAATCGGCTAGCAACATTACCCCCTCCCCATATAGGCAGACAAGAGTACAGATTAGGTTAAGTACTGGGTTATTCCTTTTGTTGAGTTATTTCCCAGTGTCATTTTCCTTTTTCAATACACTCCTTTAGATAAATTTTTCTTTCCTAAAGAGAGTAAGAATGCATTTGCAATTCTGGATGACTTTTTTGCAACGGACTAATTACCACTTTCTACTTTTTTCTTATATCCCAATATTTGAACCCGGAAATAAATATTAGAGATGTCAATCGGTCCTTAACTGTCCGGCCCGGTTCGGGATTGGCAGTCCAGTCATGGGACCGGACTTAAAGTCCTGTAAAAGTCCTAAGCTTTTTTAAATGTAATTTTTCGGTCAATTATTTTACGTTGTATGGCCGAATTCGAGTTAACTTTTTAGCTGCACTCGCCGATTAATTGAAAGCTTTTATATTAATATAGCTTGCTGCCTCTTTCTTGACCTAGAAAACCACAAATAGCAACAAATTATAATAAAAGCAATGAAGGTTCCTATATAATTTTTATTTTATTCATTTTAAATCTTTGTCATTATCAGAAAATTAAGTAAAAAGTAAGATGATAGAAATATGCTACTACTAATAGTAATGCTTTAATAATAAACTTTGAAAAAGAGGCAAGGGATATTTAATATTTGAATAGGTGACGTTGCAACTTGGAAGAGCTAAAGATGATTATATAATAGCAAGATTCTTATATAGTAGAATTGAGATGATCGTCAATATTTTTATTATCGCAAAAAAAACTGGAACAAAAAACTCTTTAGAATAATTAATATATAATAATAAATAAATAAATAAATAAATAAATAAATAATTTTTTTTTACAATATACTACAATAAATAAATAGATAAAATGTCAAAAATGATGATTATAATAAATCACAATTTTTAATGTCTAAATAAAGTTGACCATTGAGGTGGAATAGCCCAACCATGTTGTCTTGCTACCCTAATATATGCATCCATAGCTTCCTATAAAGTATTTATAAATGTTATATATTTGCATTCATAAATTGATACTTATTGTTACAATTTCATTTATATATAATAAGTAAATAAATAAAGATTACTTACTCTTGGACTGTATTCAATTTTCCAATTCTTGTCAAGTCTTGCAGGTGGACTTAAATCACTTAATGCCAATTTAACTTGTAATAAAACTGATTCTATAGTGAACTCGGACGACCACCCTTTATCATTCCTATTGCCCAATGTTAAAATCTCTATACAAATAGATCCTCCTGCTGTAACCTACATTTTTAACACCAATATTAAAAAGAAGTTAGATTTTTTTTTTGCCAGAATATAATACTTGGCGAAAAAAATTTTTGGAATAAATTCATTTGTTATTTTTTTTTTCCTTACATGACCACCTCCACCATTAAGAAATCTTAGTAATCTTGGTCTTATTACACGAATATATCTATAATAATATTGATAGAGATCAATCAAATTATCGCTATGTTAAACTAATAATTTATAATTATTAAAAAAATTTTTTTAAATAATACTAAACGGAAACTTACGGTGGTAAAGCGGGGAAATCAGGAGAAAATCTAACTTCTAGATCAATACTGGTAACATTATGTGCTGCCATATCTTGAGCTAATGGAATACTTGGATCAAAATTTTTAAGTTGTACAACCTTATAATTTGAATAATGGTTTAACATTTTATTTTATCAAAGAAAAAAAAAAATTTTTTTTCCAAGCAAATAAATATTGAGATTACAAACCCATTGATAAACTGATCTTAAGTTTTCAAGCTTAACATAAAAACCCAAGTCATTAGAAGCTTTATTTTGATTATTTACAATCATCTTCAGCTCTCGATATATACGTTGTGTTGCTGTCTTAGTTGATTGCTCTAATTAAAATATTAAAGATTTTAATTTGACTAATTAATTAACTAACCCATTAAAAAATTAAATATTTTTAGTAGTATACATACCGGGAAGTGGTAATAAAGAAGGATCAAAGTCTTATATTAAACCCACCCAATTAATTAAAACATTTAATTTGAAATTAGTTATTAATCATTTAATTCATTTCATTTAGAAGAAATTAATAAATAAATTAACTAATTTAGAAATGCAACTAACCATCGTCTTCTATTTGTTGAATTTCATCGTTGTGATTTATTATTCTCGAAAGACTATTACTAACAATGCTATTATTAACACTACTACTACTACTACTACTACCACTACTGTTACTACTGTTATTGTTGTTATTATTAACGTTATCGTTATTAGTATTGTTGCGATTATTACTACTAAATGTTGTAATGAGGTGAGAGTAATCGGTTGGTTTTGACTTCCGATTCATCCTTTATTTTAAAAAATTTTTGAATAATTTAAAAATTTCAATTTTAATTTTTTTTCCAAAAAATAAAAAAAGATATCTTTAAATAAAAATGGGATTGAATTAGATTTTATTTACTCGTTTATTATTTGTAATAACAACGATGATGACGATGTGATGAATCGGAGAAACGGTGTATTAACATGATTTTTCCATTTTGTTCAAATGTATTAATATAGATTTATTATTATTATTATTTATGACTTTTTTTTTCATACTTCTATTTTTAAATTTCTTGGTTTTATTTTTTTTCTTAGAATGACAAGATAAAATAAAATATTTTTTTTGGGAAATTACAGTATTATGTGTAACATTACAAAGTTGGAATGGACTCTATCAATTTATCATGCATATATGCATTACAATTTACAACATAATAATATAACATTATTCATTTACATGCTTTTACCACAAATAATAAACAATAGGCTCGCCTGTATATGAACTATCTCTAATCAATCTGGCTAGCAGGGATGTTATGTTAAACTAGTTGAATATATAATTCAATTTGTTCGTTTGAAAGAGCAACCAAAGAAACATCTTTACTATAGATACATTGTATTTATATATGTAATGTACTTTTTATTATTATATAATAGATTATTATTATTATATTATGATACAGTCAAATCTTGTCACAGCGGATGAACGGAACACATAATAATAAGAAAACCTTATTCAAAATTCGTTGTGACAAGAATTTAATTATAGTCCGCTGTGACAAAGGTTTGATTGTGGATGGTTATTATGATAAAAAATAATAAAAAATAGAAATTATATGCAATATAATATTTGGTAAGAGTAGTAATGTAAATTTTATTTATAAATCCCAGGTCTTAATGCTTTACATCCTTTTATCAAATATTCTACGTTGTGCCAGCCCTGTTTTTCAATAATAATAAGGTATATATATGTCATTAAAAATCATGTATTTTTCCGCAAAAAACATCCGCAAATTTGCGCAGCATCATGAAAATATCCAATTTTATTGGTGGGTTGGGTGCGTGTTATCCTTATTTAGAAATTGATATGGCGATTTGCGGATGATTTTTGCGGAAAAATACATGATTATTATTAGGTCATTCGTTAATAGTTCCAAATATGCTGTCGGAAATAGTTGCATATCCTTCAAAAAAAAAATTAATAATACTTTTGAATATTTTATCACGATCAAAAATATAATTCCAATTAATAAATGCAATATGTTTCAAATTTTCATATGCAAGCTAACTCTTGATCTAATCCAGTTTTGATGAGTACTCTAGAAGTTGATAGTCTTGGAATTCTTGGCCAATGTTTATCATCATACGAATGACTTTTAATTCGAGTCTAAAAGACAAAAAATGATGATTCCAAAATTTCGAGATTTGGGAATGAAATAGATTTAAAAGATTTTATAACATTTTTATTCCTAATATCCAAGTTTAAATCCTTTAAATTTTGAAATGTTCGTATTTACTCCATCACTTTTATAATGGATTGATTATTTATTGTGAATATTTGAATGTCTAAACAAATAATGTCACCCGAACTCTAAACTTTATTTTGATTTTGAGCTTCAATCAGCCGTGCTGGACCATTATTATTAATATTAAGATTATCATCGTAGCCACCATCTATTGCCAAAGATTGAATTAAAAAATTAAAAATTATTAAAGAAATAACATTTCATTTCATTGAGATTCCCAAAACAAATATTAAATCTAGGATGATTAATTAACCAATTCGCAATCTAATTCACACAAGTTGAAAGCATGTTAATAGTTGTTGAGTGATTCTAAAATTAATTTTATGGCTCTTTTCTTTATGCAATTGACTTCTATGACATTATTGTCATGATAGCGTGATCACTGTTGGCTTTAATACTGTATAATGGTGGTGATCTATTCAATAGTTGAAAATTCAATTTGATATTATTTTTTTTCTAAAAAATCATTTTCCTCTGTTAAAAACAATTAATTGATGTTCTGAAGCTTGCCTTTAGAATATAATGGATCTCTCCACAATGTTGGAATATTAAAATTATGCAAATGTTTATTAACTAGAGTACAAGAATATAATCACACTCTTATGTTTAATTTCTTTTTTTTTTGTTCTGTGTTAAACCTTTCATCTCATCTTGACTCAAACGATACCCAATTCTTGTTTTTATATAAGAAAACCCTTCTTGCAACGCATATCGTTCAAGATGAGTTTCGAGTTTGAATACAAAGTTCATTTTCCGAATTTTCATTTGTAACGAAAGAAAAAAAGGTAAAAAGTTAATGAAAAAGGTAAAAAAAAGTAAACGGCGCGAGAAAAAAAAATAACTTATCAATACAGTGAAGCCTTGTTTCAATATCTATCTCCAGCCACTTCGTTATAACAAGGTTATAGCTTGATGGTCGGTTCACATGATCTATTGAAATTACTGCTAATTTTTCATAATAATACATTCATTTTAATTAAACTGTTAATTAAGATAAATTGTCTTTTCTTTTTCATAAAATAAAAAAAAATTAACATAAATAATGATACTAAAAGTAATCGCAGGAATTTTTGCGTCACAACATCACATCAAAAAAAAATTTTCAGAATTTTTATTTTAATAAATTAGTAAATAGTTATAATAGAAAAAAATTTATCACTAAATTTTTAAAAAACAACGACCTTGCATTTGCAAATATCAAAGAAAACCTCATTTTTATTCTAAATATAAAACTATTCAATTGGTTAACAAAATAAATAAATACATTTTTAAACAACGACATTATACAAACGTTATTGATAATATTTGTAATAAACAAAATATTTTTAAATTATATATTTATTATAATAAATAAAAGTATAATAAAGTCGTCCAGCAAATAACAATTGTTAGTTATCGTATAGCAAACAAAAACAGGATAAGCTACTCAAATATGTCCCGAAAGTATCTCATGAAAAATAGTCACTCGCGTCAAAAAATATAGAACATTAAGATATAATATCATAATACTGTAATAGTAGATAAAAGCAGAATTACTATTGGCTGCTCTATTGAGTTAGACTTAGTCACCTGACTTGAGCAAGATTTATATGGAACGTGTACCATTGATAAACATATATACACACGAGTTTATTCCTATATCACCACTACCACTACCATCTCGACCTTGTTCTACTGCTTAAAAAAACCTCCGAATAAAAATATATAAATTGAACGATATAATAAAAATAATACGCTAACATACCACATTATTTACTATATGAAAAAAATTTGATTTTGGTGTTAAAAATGTTAAGATATGTTTCAGTATTTTATGCTATTACTATCAAATTCACGCGCAACATCCTCACTCAATTTTTTTGTGGCCAAATATTTCATTGCAAAGAGAGATCTTGTAATCCTGTAATGTGAAAAAGAAGCTCCCAGCCACAATTCCGAAGAAGTTAAATCTTCTTAAACCTCACTATTTTGTAGGATGATCTGAAATGCAAAGCAACTAGCATAATTTTAAGGCTAGTCAGTCACTTATTCTCAGAATAATGACTTTTAGCGATGATTAAAGTGTGAAAACACAATGAATCTGTTTTTCTTTCCCTATATCTCACTTTATAGTTTGTTTTTTTTTTTGATATAACAGTACCTTTAAATGCTAAACAAAAAAATCCAAAAACTTCAACTGGTAAGTTTTTATAGTTTATGATTCTAGCTTCAAAACTTATCGCTAGATTTTTCTTAGACTAACTAAAAAATTGTAGAATTTCAAATTTTATTATATATATACATTTTGAAAATTAAATTTCGTGGAGAAAACGCTTATTTAAATTCGTATTTCTCCTTAATATTAATATTAATTTTAAAATTTTCTTTAGAACATAATTTAAACTAATTGCTTTAAATTTTGAAACATTGCTATTAAGGGTCTACGGATTATTGATTGCGATTGTGATACTATCTTAATATTTTTAAAGATTAAATATTTCCACAACTATTACATAGCTAATTTATTAAACTATATGTATAGGATTGTTGGTTAGTCAATCATTCGCAATCTATTTCAAGTAACAAATTTTATCAGTAACACCTTTAGAAAGTAATAGATCTCTCCATACTAGTCCGATGTTAATGTTATGCCGTTGTTTATTAATCATCATCATCAAATTTTCAATTGATTCTAACCATTGCTTATTGTAAAAACTGTGTAGATCACCACTCGAAAGTTGCCACCAGTTTTCTTTAATTCTATTACGAACAAAACATTGTTTTGAGATATCTGTTATAAATTCCATTTGTTGACTTAGACAAGTTTTCAAAGTAATCTTGCAAACTTGTCTCATCATCAAAATTTTTTTGATGGTGAATGCATCATTTAGATCAGATGTATTTGTTGCTTTTGCAAATATGTCTCTGTAAATAACTAGAAAAGTCTCTTCTAATAATACTTGATATTATTTTATTTGTGATTCTTTTAAGAAGGAATAAACATGTCACGTAATTTATTTACACGCATAGTGTTATAAAAAGCCCCTACTTTTTGTTTTGGAACGTGATTTTTGGAAAATTTATATATTATATAATAAATATTACACCAAAAATCAATACATTTCATGGCTACTAATTAACACAAAAAAAAGACTTAACATTTGCCGTGTCACGATCTCCTTCCAAAACTCGCAAGTCGTGCGACTTCCGCG